TCTTTTCTCTTTCTGTTCCTCAGACTGGATAATCTTTTTAAAAATTTGCTTTTAATTTTTGTTTTTTCAGGCTGGATAATCCTAATTGACATATGTTCAAACTTGTTGATTCTTTCTTCTGCCCTACTCAAGCCTGCTGTTAAACCCCTCTGCAGTGAATTTTTCATTTCAATTGTTGTGCTTTTCAGCTCTGGAATTTCTATTTTGTTCTTATAATGTCTCCTTATTGATATTCTCAATTTGATGAGACAGCATTCTCCTAGTTTATTTTAGTTATCAATGGTTTCCTTTAGCTCTGTTAGCTATTTAAGACAGTTCATTTATTTTTCTAGTAAGATGAATGTCTGGGTTTCCTCAGGGAGTTTGTATTAATTTATTTGTCTCTGTGACTAGACCATATTGTTTCTTTTCATGCCTCATAATTTTTGTTGAAAACTAGACATTCTGAATACCATAATGTGGCAACTCTAAAAATCGATTGTCCTCTCTCCCTGGAATTTGTTGTTTCTGCATGTTATGAAGTCTTACTGTTTGCTTGTTTAGTGACTTTTCTAAACTACTTTTGTAAAGTCTGTATTCTTTGTCATGTTAGACCATTGAAATGTGTTCTGTCAGCTTAGTGGTCAGACAATGTTTTGACAGAGTTTCATATAATGCCTTAAGCTAAAAAAAAAGGTGGCTGGGATACTCTCCCATTCCTTGCATGTTGGTCTGTTGGGGCAGTCCTTCAAACTTTAGCCATGCCATTTAAAATTGTGTCTTGGCCTTTACTTCCTGCTCGCATGGAGCATGAAAGTCAGTCAGAGGTGGAAACTTAGCATCTTATCAGGCCTCGGAGAAAATTTCCACCATGGTCATATGTGCGGCCTTCTCAATTACTCAGTATACTTGGGAGCTTTTACAAGTCCTTGTTTCCTCACATATCTCCTTTCCCAACTTGTTTCTTCTGATATCTTTCAGTATGTCTAATGCTTGTTCCAATGTTATCCTTTGTCCCGTGTTGTTGTGGCCAATATTTTTGCTTTTAAAGCATCTGGCAAATGCCACCTGGGAAGCTGTCCTAGCCTCAGGGATACTCCAGGTTGGATGAAACAAACATAAATCTTTGCACCAGTCCTTAAGGAGCCACCAGATAGGCTGAAACACATAGCCACAAGTCTTTGAGAATAAGATCCATATCGCTGTCTCTGGAACTAGCAACCTGTACCAGGAGCACAGGCTGCCAACTTCACACCTGCCACAGATCTGAGGAATGGAAGATGGTAGGCAGACAACTTACAAAGACACGGGGCACTCCTACCAAAGTACAGCAGCTTTGTTCTTCATAAGGTTCCCTCTGGTTGTTGTAAGTTTTTGACTAGATACCAGAGTTCTGCAAAAGTTATTTTGATAGTTTTTGCTTGCTTTTTCATTGCTTTTGTGGAGGGAAGGAGCCTTGGAGTTCCCTACTCCGCCATTTTTAGTGATGCCACTCCAGAAAATTTTTTGCCTCATAGCTCCAATTTCTGTCCTACTTCAGAGATTGTGTTTTGCCACCAATGGCTCTCCTGAGAAATGTAGCCTTTTTTCTTTTCTTTGGTGCCATAAGCTTGTTTCTTTAAAGATATGTTTTCCTGAAACCTAACACCATACTGAGTCTCAGAGCCTTAAAAGTTCTGACTTTAAAATTCTTGCACAGGAACACAAGCAAAAGTACTCGCACATCACAAAATGACCAGGAAGCCCATGTGGACCAAATAGTTTTCACCCTGCTTGGTCTGGGGTCCTGATGCTCCTAACCTCTGCTATGCATGAGTAGAGCCTGCCACATAGCTAAGGGCTGTTGGGGATAGCAAGACTGTAGTGAAATGGAAATTGCTGGGGTTGACAACAGTATTGCTACACAAGGTCCTGCAGGATGGCCTGAAGCTTTGGAGTGGAGTTTCTCAAGTACCATTCAGAGGTACTAAACTTTAGTCCTATGTTTTTACCCACGATGGCTTCCAAATTGCTTGTTGTTCTTCAGTCACTTGGAGGAATGTCTCATGCCATCCCTTTAGCCATAAACTAGGGTGGAAACCTTTGCTTCAACAGTGAAATTCTCTCTGGCTTAGAAACAGAAATATCTGCATTAAGACTTAGGTATGTTGTACCTATACAAAAATCCAGACTAGCTCCTTGGCCACTGGGGTAGAGGCTAGTACAAGAAGAGTCAAGGAGTAAAAATGTCATTTGAAAGATCAAGATGATCAAACTTCAAGAATAACACAGCAGAGCTGTCCATTTATATATCTCAAAATGTCAAGTCAATCCTTCAGAAATCAAGCCAAGCACCTTGGAGTTTCCCCAGAATCACAATAAAGAAAGCAGTATGTACTGGAGGGCAAACTGGATTGTGGTATGGGAAATATTCTTAATCAGGAAAACCCAGCTAAATGATTACATAAATTATCCAGCTGCAACATCACAACTGAGTGGGTACAGTCATGTGTATTTCACCTGGCAATAGTCAATGCCACATTCCTAAATGATCCTATCTCTGAAAGAGAAAAACACAAATTCTCATGGTCTGAGAGTTGAGGATAATGTTTAGCTTTATAAGTTTAGGAATAGCTGACCAGTTCAACAAATTATAATAAATCCACATAACGGAATATAGTCAACAAATGCTAAATTGCAGAACTACTTAAGAACATGGAAAATGACCAGGATATCTTACCAGAGTAAAATTACTATATAAAACATGATGCACAATACAATTACATTTATAAAATATATGTATATATGAAAAAACAAATAGTCACATAGGCATAAATAGGTAGCAAAATGTATGGGAAGTTATGCACTCATATATTACCATGACTGTATTCTGAATGAATGGCTTTTCTTAAGTTTCTTTCAGCTCCCTAAATGTAAACCAATTCTATAATTTCTACATCTGATTTTCTAGGCATGTTTTTCATTAACTGGTAATGGTCAAATATTTCAACAAGATTTCTTACAGTAACTGATAATGATATCTCTCCAGGTTCCTTTTTATGTCTTCTTGGCACATGGTTTTATTTTGTTTCTAAAACAATCTTTTTATTTGTTAAATACAGCTTTATTGTGAATATGACTTATATACCATAAAATTCACCCATTTTAAGTGCACAATTGAGTGATTTGTAGCAAACTTACAGAGCCAAGCAACCAATACCACGATCTAATTGTAGGACATTTCATTACTCCAAAAAGAAACCTCATGCGATTTGCAGTCACTCCCTATTTCCAAGTCCAGCCTCTGGCAACTACCAATTTACTTTCTGTCTACATAGATTAGTCTTTTCTGGATATTCCATATATGTGGAATCATGCAATACATGGCCTTTTGTGTCTTCCTTCACTCAGTGTAATGGTTTTGAGGTTCATCAATGTTATAGCATGTATTGGTACTTCAATCCTTTCTATTACTGAATAGCAATCATTGTATGAATATATGACATTGTTTTTCCATTCACCCATTGATAGATATTTGAATTGTTTCTCTATTTTGGATATTATAATTAATGTAGACATGATTATGTACAAACCCCATCTCTTCTCCACTGAACAATGTTTAGTTCTAATCCTTGCAAAATTCCTATAAATTACAATCTAAATAATAGATTCACACATAACAATTTCTTGAGAATTCTTGTTCACAGCTATTAATATGGTTTAGCATTACATCCTAATCATTTTTCCTTATGACTAAATCTTTAAAGTTTTTATTAGTTTGCATATTATTCTACCACGCACAGTTTGATTAACTTAACAACTTCCATATTACTGGGCACAAATTCTATACAAGAATATACACAACAGATGTATCCAACAATTCTGTATACAATTTCAAGGGGTCTTGTTGCTTCCTGGAAGCCTATAAATGAAGGCAAATGACCTAGGGTTAAGAAATTTCTTCTATATGACTTCAGCATTTGCTTCATTTTCTTAACTACAAGTGCCAACAAAATTAATTTCACATTGTCATTGCTCCTTATCTACAGAAAGCTGAGAGGAATGACCCAGAATCACCACATCATAACAGGTAATGTTTACTGAGATTCAGTATGTGCCAGGTACTGTTCTATGAATTTTACACACAAGAGATCTTCAGAAAGTTCACGGAAAGATTCCTATCATCTTCTAATTCCATTTTTCCACGAACTTTTTGAAGTAACCTTGAATTAACTCATCTAACCCTCTTAATAATCCTATGAGGTATGTACTATTATCATTCCTATTTTAGTTAAGAAACTATGGCACGAAGAGGTTGAATAAACTACCCAAGCTCATACACGTAGCAAGTGTCGGAATCAGGATTTTAATCCAAGTATTCGATCCATACTCTTAGCCACTATACCACACTGCTTCTCACACACCACACAAAAATGAGGCCTGAAACAAATTTATGCTGCCTGGCTAGTACCACAAAAATCCTATATAGACTGGGGGTTGGGGATAAGAGGGAAGGAATCTCTACACTCGTTGAAACGTATCTCTCTGCTCAAATCACCAAACACATTCCTACTCCTAAAAGCCTCAAAAAGCAAAGTCCTTGTCACTGACTGAAAAGAGCCGAACCATCTCCTACCTTATCTTGTTTTATAACTCAAGCTTGTGCAGATTAAGAAAATGTGGCGTGTGATCCCAAGTAGGCACATTTTCTTTAACAAACTACTGTCTAAAATAATGGTTGTGATATTATCCTCTAGAACTGTACTTCTATACCATATGAATGCTTAGTAAAAGAGAACCAACAGGAAAAATGAAAAGAATTTGCAAAATGGATATGTAAATAATTAACTGGAAGGACATGGTCGTTGCACTGGGGAGTGGGATCTATCCCCAGGACCTCTGACATTTCATTGTGGAAGGAAGACCTAGGGCTAGAACAACGCCTAAGTTACTCTTAGGCAGGACATTTCAGGACTCCAGATGTTACCATGTCCTGAAAAATGAAATGTGATTCATGGAACGAAAAGCAAGCACAAACTCACCTTGAATTTAATTTTCAGATGTGCAGCAAGGATTCTTCTTTACTCCTCACAAGCCTTCCTTGGAGAATGGCAAGGCCAGGGGAAAAGGCGTGCATGAGACACCCGGCTTTTTTTTTTTGAAGACAGGTCAGAACTCAGCCTCCAGAACAATCCCTGTCCTTGACTCCCATAGGTATGCGCACAGAGAAAACTGGAGGAAGAGTAGAATGTCGGGGTTCACAGCTCTGAGTACGCTGCAGTTCTGACACCGCAGCTGGCGACCCTTAAGGCCACCCTTCGTCTTTTCTCCGGAACTGTTCTAAAGGTCTTTCCAGGCTTAGCGGCACGCCCCAGGCACAAGTACCGACGTTTCGCTGGGGACCTTCATTCTGGGGTTCCACCTCCCACTTACCCCTGACGATTTTTTTTCTGCAGCCGGGCCCCTAGCTGATGCGAAGCCCGAGGTGCGCGGGGCCTCAGTCTTGCATTGGAAGCTAGACTGCTCCACAAACCGGGTCCCGCACCAAATTACAGCCACGCGAGCTCAACGAGGCACTAACACGCTCGGATCCAGGGGGAGACGTGGGAGGGCCGTACAGTCCCCTCGCCCCCGGCAGCCAGCTCCAAGCAGTCCCGCCTGCCCGGGCCCGCACTCATTTCTCCCAGAAAAGCTGCGGCCGCGCCGATTCGCGCCTCACCATCCTAGAGCGGCGCGGGGCTCTGAGAACCGCGGCGCCCCAAGGACAGCGGTACCGGAGCTCCGGAATGTGCCCGTTTCAGTCCAGGCGCAAGTCCCGCATCTCCTCAGGGCGCGGAGGGAGCGGTGCAAGGCCGAGGAGGCAGGCAGAAACTCCGGCCTGTGAACGTGAACCCTGATGCCGCGGAGCACAGGCCGGGTCGGGCGGGCAGCCAGCTCCAAGCGGTCCCGCCTGCCCGGGCCCGCACTCATTTCTCCCAGAAAAGCTGCGGCCGCGCCGATTCGCGCCTCACCATCCTAGAGCGGCGCGGGGCTCTGAGAACCGCGACGCCCCAAGGACAGCGGTACCGGAGCTCCGGAATGTGCCCGTTTCAGTCCAGGCGCAAGTCCCGCATCTCCTCAGGGCGCGGAGGGAGCGGTGCAAGGCCGAGGAGGCAGGCAGAAACTCCGGCCTGTGAACGTGAACCCTGATGCCGCGGAGCACAGGCCGGGTCGGGCGTGCTCTCTAGTAGGAGGCCGTAGAAGTCGCGGACTCGGTTAGTGTCGCAGTCGGTTACAGGTTCCGCGCCCCGCCCCCCTCCCGGGCCGCGCTGCGGAGACCGCCGAACGCTAGGCCCCGTAGGAGTGCGCAGGCGCGTAGAGGAACGGGCACCTCGCCCGCCTCCTGCGGAGGAGGGGGCGCTGTTTGGTTTGGATGGAGCGGTAAAGCGGTCCACCGGGTGTTAGGATGTGCCGGACCGAGTGTGCAACCGTGGACGGTGTTGCTTCCGTGCGTGGGACTGTTTCTGCGTGTGCATGGTGTACTATGATGACTCCGCAGAGAATGTCGCGCGATTATGCCCAACTCTGCCGCCAGATGTAGGAGTCTGTGCAGCTGTGACTTGATTTGTGAAGTGCCTGAGACTGTTTTTCCGCGAACGTGTCTGTGTCCTGCCACATGGGATGGGTTTGATAGCCAATACTTCTGGTTATTGTTTTCCACGGGGACCGTGCACGAGGGTCAGTTTTCTTGTGTATGAAGCTGGGTATGGCATTTTGATAAACCGAAGGTTGGTTAGGTGTGCTCTCAGGATTTTGACTCTGGCAATTACATAAGTTAAAATAATTTCAGGCAAAATTGGAAAGGAGGAGGTAAGATTTTCATTACAGGTGCTAAGATTATGAGAATGTATAGAGTGCAGGAGAATAAAAATCATATATATATATATAAAAGTACATACACATACACAAATGTCCATATATGTATATGCATTTACCTGCACTTGCAAGTGTTTCACTGAGTTTCTTCCTGCCCTTGGATGTGAAATCTTGGATGACTTCAATAACTTCTTTAGTCACTCTTAGATAATAAAAAAAAGTCCTTTTAACTCTTTTAGTTAAAAGATCAGTCATTTTAGTGGTTACAATAATTAGAACGTCTGTTTGATGAAGTTCAGACTTCCTTTAAAGAACCTCCTATCCTCTGCCCTCTCCCAGACACACCTCTAAATATAGCTTTATCACAATTATGGGTTAAAGCAATATTTGGGATTTATATGCTGATTATTTAGATTTTTTTTGGCCTTAGAGCCAAGTATGTTTTTTTATACAGGATTTTGTTTATCTTGGAATTAACTGGCTTGTTTTGTATGTATACTACTATGTGCTTTGTTGCCTTGTCTGTTCTTATTGCTACCTGATGGAGTTTGGATGTGTAGTCCCCACCAAAACTCATATGGAAATCTGATCCCCAATGTGGCAGTGCCGGAAGCTTCCAGCACATTTGAGTCATGTTTGAGTCATGGGGGCAGATCCCTCTCGAATGGATTAATGCTCTCCCTACGTGGGGGGAGTAATCAGTGAGTTCTGGCTCTATTAGTTCCCATGAAAGCTGGTTGTTTAAAAGACCCTGGCACCTCCCCTCTCTTTCTCTCTTGCTTCCTCTCACCATGTGATCTGCTTGTGCCTGCTGGCTGCCTGTTGCTTTCCACCATGAGTAGAAGTAGCCTGAGGCCCATGCCAGATCCAGCTGTTCCAGAATCGTAAGCCAAATAAACCTCTTTTCCTTACGAATTACCCAGTTTCAGTTAGTTCTGTTATAGCAACACAAATGGACTAATACACTACCATTTTCCAAGTGTTACAACAAATATGTCAAACTCCCAGCAATGATTTTTTTCCAAATGCTCAAACTTACCCAATAGCTTTTTATTTCCTTGAAGAGTCTCTTTCACAGCCCTTATCTTATAGCTCCAGTCTGAATTGTAAAGTTGCTTTAAGACCACCCTTCTCCCTTTTCCTGAATTGGATTATTGTGACCTGAGTTTTGTTAATTTTGCATAGTTCTTTTTTGTCCCCTGCCTCTGTGTTGGGAAAATAGAATAGTTTGGTCAGGGCCCTCACCTCAGGTTCAGTTGGGTGTGGTTTTAGCACATCCTTTGTAAGCAAAGTGTGTGTGTGTGTGTGTGTGTGTGTGTGTGTGTGTGTGTGTGTGTGTGTGTGTGTGTGTGTGTGGAGTTAGTGCACATGCGTGCCAATGTATCTTTTTAGTTTTGTTGCTATTCTTGTGTTCTTCAGAGAGAGAGAGAAAGAGAGGGAGAGGAGTTTTAGTGAAGCAGGCGGGTGGGCGTCTGCCTTGGGAGTCCGCCCTGCGTGGCCATGCTTTCCAACCTGTGGCTTTCAAGGACTTTTTGGCCAGTTACCTAGCTCATAGGCCTGCGTGTAAGGGGTCTGGTGACCCAGCCTGGCATGTGAAGGGTTTGTGACCCAGTCTGTGAATGGGCTTGAGGGGTCTGTGAGCTTCAGACCCAGCCCTAGCTCAGCAATTGGCCCAGTCAGTAGAGGATTACCAGCAGGTAAAAGAGCCTGACAATTAGCGTGGTCATGTAGCTAGGCAATTAGCATCACAAACAGGATTAAGAGCACTACAACTGGCAAACTCATGGAGCCTAACAATTGGCGATGTGAGCACAATTCCAACATTAGCCTGTAGCCCTGCAATTGGTGATGTCGACAGGATTCCAGACATCAGCCATGGCTCTACATTGGCATGGTCTGTGACAGGATTCTGAACAGGTACAGGAGCCGAAAGCCCTTGGAAGAGGGAGGAAATGTGGGTACTTGAGAATATGCTCTGCTCTATGGCCTCCTTCCTGTTGACTGGGATCTGGTTGCTGTACAGTGTACTGCAAGGCAGCATAGACCAGGGATTACAATGGAAAACCTCTTGGGATGGGAAGGAAATGTGGCTATCCTTGAACATGTGGTGCCTGGTGGTCACTTTTCTGCTGACTGGAGCTTGGCTATTGTTCACTGTGCTGCAAACCAATCGAGAGTTGCAGCAGAAAGCAGAGTTGTTGGAAGCACGGATAAATATCCTGGAGGGCGACATGCAGTGACTGGCCACTCCAGCCTCTTGCACCAGGGAAGGCAACCAACCCAGTGGTGAGCTGGGGAAACCGTGTATCTCCAGGCACGACCTGTTGTGCATGAGAAATGGAGACAGTAAAGCAGCAGAAACAGGGAGAGCCCCTGGCTGGTACAGCTATGGGACCTACGGGTGGATGGTGTAACGTGCTTTAGAGATGATGTAGTAAACACATGTTGCATTTGTCTGCAGGCAAAAGGCTCGGAGGGTGCCACTTAAACATGATGGCTCGACAGGTGCCGTAAAACCTGAGGAAAGAGTGCCACATGCAGATGGGCAGATGACCTGAGATGACCCCTGCAGAATTGCAAGTATGTTTTCACTTGGTGAAAAGGTGGAAAAGTTAGTCTCCATTACTACATGCCTGTCTCTGTGGCAGTGGTTACAGGAGAGCTGCAGATATGCACAGGGGCAGGGCAGCCACTCCTTGATGGACTAGGAAAATGCAGCTGTTTGAAATGTGGGCAAATGCTGCAAAACTGCCTGAGACTCAGTGAGTAGCCAGGGTAAGCCAAGCTGATTGAAGTAATTCACAAGCCAGAATTTAAAAGGGAAGCAGAGCGTAAAGATTTGGAAAACTTGCAGCCTGGCCATGCGGTAGAGAAGCAGAGAGCAGGAAAAAAACACAAGGGTGAAGCAGATAAACTGTTTGCTAAAGACATTATCTTGGCCCAGATGCTAAAAACCAGGACAATGGGGAAAATGCCCTAAAGGCATTTGAGAAGAATGGATGGGTGCCCCACCCATCACAGACCCTGAGGCCTGGAAGGACTGAGTTGTCCTGGAGGACAGACCTGAGGTGTCATTGCCCTCAGCAAACTGTTCCCTGCATCCCAGCCACTCTGGCTGGAGTAATCCTACCTCAGCACCTCTGAAGAAAAATAGCTAAAAACCTTGGTGGCGTTCACATTGTGTTAAGTTTGCAGGCCAGCGGTATGTGAGAGCAGTGGAGGCGTGGCAGCCTCCACCTAGATTTTGGAAGATGTATGAAAAAGCCTTGGGACTCAGGGGGAGACCTGCTGCAGGGGTGGAGCTGCTGTGGAGGTCAGCTGCGGAGGTCATCTATGGAGCAATGTGGAGCAGGAAAGTGAGTTCGGAGCCCCCACAGAGAACCCCCGCTGAGGAAATGTCTAATGGAGTCAGGATGGCAGGACTGCCACCAGGAGCCCAGAACCTTGGGGCTGCTGGCAATGTGCAGTGCCAGTGTGGAAAAACTGCAGGCACCAGGGCAGCTCAATGGTCTGCACTTGGCAGAGCTGTACGAGCATGGTTGCCCAATGCTTTAGGGGTTTAGGTGCCCCAGTGTGCTTAATGTTTGCCATGTTTGGGTTTCGGATTTGTTTGGGGACTGTTTTCCTTTCTTTTCCTCCCGTTTGGAATGGGAATGTGTACAGGGTCTGTCCCACTGTATCTTGGAAGTAGATAAACTTGTTTTTGACTCTTTACAGGTTCATGGCTGGAAGGACTTTTGCCTTTGGTCTCAGAGGAGACTTTGGACTTTTGAGCTGGTGCTGCAACAAGCTAAAGACTTTTGGGACTG